GAGGAGGAGGAGGAGGAGGAGGAGGAGGAGATTGGATTCATACCCCATGGCCCTTCACTACCCAAAGGAATCCCAGAGCGGCTTACAAGCGCCTTTCCCTTCCCCTCCCCACAATGGACACCCCTGTGAGGTCGGTGGGGCTGAGAGAGCTCTGACAGAAACGGCTCTTTTATCAAGGACAGCTCTTATCAGAACTAGGGCTTGCCCAAGGTCATCCAGCCAGGTGGGGAAGGAGTGGGGGAATCAAGCCGGGTTCTCCCAGATTAGAGTCCACAACACTTACCCACGACACCAGACTGGCTCCTAGTGGTGGGGCTGGTACCAAAAAGGCCCTTCCCCAAGACCCCCTTTGGCCGGAATGGGTCTGAGAGCGGGAAATGCTTCTTGCTCCGCCCCCCCCTCGGCCCCTGCCGTCCTTACCAGCTCCAGGATGGAGGAGCAGAAGGTGAGGAACCTGGAGAGCAGGTCCTGGGCAGAGCTGTTCTCCTGGGCCAGACCCTGCTGGAGCTCAGGGAAGTTGCAGCACCTGGTGGTGGTGTGGGGCAGCCAGTGGACAGTCCGCAGCTCCTGCAAGAGCCTGGAAGGGAGGCAGGGAGGCAGGAAACAGGCTTGGGGTGGGGGCGGAAGAGCAGGTCCCCTTGCCCCGACACAGAGGGGCCCCCAGCCAAGCACACCTTACCTGGAAATCTGAAGCAAAGCGGCTCCAAAGTGAGGCACCGCCTGGAGCAACTGGCAGCGCAGCATCTCCTGGTGCTTCAGGCGCTGGAGGTGGTTCGTGTTGCAGTACCAGCTGAGGACGGCAAAGGACCTCCTCCAGTGAGGCTGACTCCACCCCCCCGCCAGCGAGCCACATGGGCCGGCAGCTTCAGCGAGGGGGGGCCCTGGGCCCAGCCCTGGCCGGCATGGCACAGCACCTGCAGGCTTACCGGACAAAGGCCTTGCGGACCAGGAAGAGGCGGAAGAAGGGGATGTGCTGCATCAGCTGCCACAGCACGGCCTCCCGGTGCCAGGCGCCCAGCGTCAGGGCCTCCGAGCCCTCCTCGGGGTGGACGTGCAGCACGCCAAAGGAGGAGAAGACGTAGTGCTCGGGGTTGGCCAGCCGCTTCGGAACCACCACGAGGTCGTAGGGCCTGCCGACAAGAGGCGCCAGCCGGAGCCGGCATCAGGTTGGGCCACGGCGGGCCGGAAGGGGAGAAAGGAGCACCACGCGGGTGCCCCCCCCCCAGAAGGCACTCACGGACCTCTGCGGGCAGGTGGGTGGGCGGGCCCCCCTCCTCCCCTCCCCTCCCCCTGCCCTTCTTCTCCGCCTTTCCCAGCCTACCCCCCTCCCGGAAAGGGTCCTCCCCTTACTCTGCTGAGTGCCACAGGCAAGAACAAGGGTGACCAGCCACGGAACTCACTCAGGCTGGAGAGATGCAGCACGTCAGGGGAGCCCACGCAGGAAGACTGCGCTTGAGAAGGGAAACTCCTCTGCCACACCCAGGAAAAAATGCCGGAGGCTGCAAGCACGGGAGAGGGAGGGGGAGGGGGAGGGGGGCATCGGGACAGAAGACGCGGCTACCTGAAGTGCCGGCTGGGGGCCACATTCAGGTACAAGAAGTGCATGTGCCACGCCTGTCGGTTCCGGACAAAGACCTCCACTACCTGCAGACCCGTCATGGCCGGCCTCTGGCTCGCTGCCGGCGCCGCCTTCTCACGCACAGGGACTGGCACGGCCCGAGGGGCTGTCGGGCACAGCTCTGAAGAAGGCCTGCCATGGAGCGTGTGGGAGGGAGAAGAGCCGGGTATTCCACCGGCAGGTCCGTGGCTAAGGACAGAGACATGAGGCCCAGGCAGCTGGCCCAGGGGGCCTCCCCCTCAGAGATGGCGCTGCCCACCGCCCCCAGGCACCTCTGCAGCTCCTGGAGGGAGACGGGATCTGGGCGCACCAGGCCAGAGGCGTCCTCCAGCACCCAGTCGGGCGTGAAAGGGCAGGGCAGGCCGGCAAAGACCGGCCCGGAGCCAGAGGGCAGCACCTTGGCCGGGGAGTCGGGCTCTCGGGGGCAGGCAGCCGCCCGCGGGGGAGGAGCCCACAGCTGGGAGCGGTCTTCGGGGAAGGCCCGCCCCAGGGCCCCCAGGACGTCCAGGTCCGACACCAAGGCCTGGCTGCTCCGGTACTGGTAGCAGAGGCCCTCCAGGTAGGGGAGCAGCTCCGCCCGGCGGGCGGCCAGCAGCTGGCGGAAGGGGGCCAAGAGCCGCAGCGCCTCCATCAGGCGCAGCCAGGCACGGCGGCTGCTCTGCTGCAGCACGGCGGCGAAGACGGCCACCAGCTCGGCCACCAGCGCCTCCACCTGCCGGGGCTCCGGGCGGCCCGTCTCCTGGAGCTGAGTGGCGAGGCGCTGGCGCACGGACCAGGCCCACGTGCCCTCCACCGGCGGCATCCTCCTCTGGAGCTCTCCGCTGCCTGCAGAGAGAGAGAGAGACGGAGGGGCTGCTGGACCGACCCTCGAGTGGCATCGTGGAAAGAGGGCGCCGAAGCATTGGGTGGGGGTGACGACTAGCCCCAAGGGTCCCCCCTGGGCATGCTTCAAGGCACAGGACGGGCACGACCTCCTGGCTGAGGGCTCTCCCACCCGGATGCCCTTCATGCCCCCGCCCCAGCAAGCCCCCCTCCCGGGCGAGGAAACGGGGCTTCTCTTGGGGGTGAGGGAGAGCCACCTTCTCCCCCCCCGTCACCCCCCTCCCCCAAGAAGTGGGGCAGCAGCAGGAG